AGAATGTAAAACTGGTGACTCTTGGTGATGAATTGTGCATGTGGAGGTATGAGGCTTCTGGCTTGTACAATAATAGAGGGAGGTACCACTCACTGAGAAAGGAACACTGGCAGGGCCAGCCTGGGGGCACAGTCAAGAGTGTGGTTTTGGACATGTTGAGAAGTCCAAGTGAAATAGCCAAGTGAACAATCGGACATGAGCATCTTGGGCTGGAGGTACAAATGTGGGAATCACATAAAGATGAGAAAAGACTAAAGCCCTGGGTGTGGGTGAGATTGCCTGTGGGGAGAGGCTAGCATGTTAAAGAGACGAGGACACAGGACCAAACCTCAAGGAAGGCCTTGACCAGAAGGATGAGCCTTCATGCCATTTATCACAACATGCAATTACTGACTCATTTGTTTGTTGACTGCCTGTCTTCCCTAGAAGGCTGTAATCTCAGTGCAGTGAAGACTGTATCTCTCTTAATGAGCCGTGTGTCTATCCAGTGCCTAATATGGGACCTGGCATGGAGCAGACGCCAAGCACTATGCTGGCTGCTATGTCCCTCAGTGGGGCCGGCCTCGTCCATACCCACATGATTGAGTCCACTGGTCTCCACTGCCCAGCAAAAAGCCCAAACGCCTAATTGGCATTCAGGGCCCTCCAAGTCGCGCTGCACCCCCTGAGTTTTCTAATACATCTTTTTCATTCCTTTACACCTGCATTTTCCACACTGTGATTCCCCTATACCTGGATAACTAGATGGGCACAAAACAGGATGAGCATAGTGCTCTCCTTGTATCCTAGATTGGGCCAAATAAAGCCGAATTGCAGTGGCTATGTGGGGGAAACTTTCTAGGCCCTGCCCCTCTCCTCTGAGAAGCACACGCCGCCACAACGTAAGTCTCCATCCCATGTTTACCCCCCGGGACCTCTGCTGAAGAAACCAGGGTGGAGACCCAGCTTCTGGAACCAATCCAAAAGCTGGGCTGGGCCATTAATCTCTATGCCAGGAACCTGGAAGTGGCACACAAGACTGGCTTGGTTACCTTTAGGTGCTGGACCAGTGAGGTCACGTGAATATGGGGGCTGGAGCACCTGTCTTCCCCAGAGGACTGTGTTATTCCCTTTGGGGCGTGTGTGATGACAAGTGATCAAAAGCACTGTTTAGATATGCAGAAAGAAATAGAGGCGCGAGACAGTGGGAATGATAAAGCAGTTGCCTTTGTTCCTGGCGGCTTCCCAGCCTCCACTGAGGCCCTGGGGAGTTTCCAACCTCCAGTGGCTCCCTGGTGATGTCTACTTTTAACTGACTGCTCTTCAGTCCCCATGAGGTACCTCTAGTTCCTTAAAACAAATTTCCCTTCAATGTAAAAAGCTTGAGAGGGTTACGTTTCTTGCAAACAGTTTCTAAGATTACCTAGTTTTTATTATTTTCTTTAAAACAAACATTTCATTTTTTGATAAAACAAATACAGACACATGACAAAGTAGAATGTAAAATTCACAAAAATATTAAGAATTAAGAATGAAATCTTTTCTAAACTAGAATCAAAAAAGCAAAAATCACAAAGGAAAAGATAAATTTGACTCCAATATTTAAAACCATGCATTATAAAACCTGACGCCAATTTAGGTGATTATGCCCCCTAACTACCGCCCCCTCATGGATATACATTTTCTCTGAGGACACACGTTAAGAAGTATGCACATTTCCATGGCAATTACCTCTGGGGAGAGTGTAGGGATTGTGAGACATGGTCAGAGGTGACAGCCTTTTCGGTTATGTTTAATATTTCTTAAATTAAAAATGATTATGTCTTTTGTGAAATTAAAACTTCATTAAATCTCAAAAAATATATATAAAACACAAGCCTTTGAAGATCTATTTGTGGTGGACTGCTTCATCCAAGGCCCACTAGATGATTTAAGTTTACTAGTAGTCTGAGATGCACGCTATAGCATGAATTCTCAGGACTGGTCAGAATGGCTTACTTGGTTCCTGAATATGCTCTCTTCCCACTAGTTTCCAAATTCACTCACGTATCATCTCCACTTAATGGAGTTCTTCTGTCCTTCAAGACCCACCTGGAAGTGTCGTTCCCTCCAAGAAGCTCTCCCTGATTGCACCAGTCCTCACTGTTCTCTCCTGCCCCACTCCGCTGACCTCTTTGGCGCTGATTGTACCTTTCTCTCAGGACAAACTTAGGGTTCCTACTTATCTCCCTCAGATAAACTACATCTCCCCAACCAGCCAGCAAACAAAAGCAGTATCTTTATGTCCTTGGTGCCTAGCACAGAGATGGCATGGAGAACTGGACAGGCCTTGAAGTCAGACAGACCCACTGTGTGACATGAGGCAACTGCCTTAACTTCCCTGGGCCCATTTTCACCTGTGTTATTGTGAATATTAATGAGATGATGGATGTAAAAGGATCCAGGACAGGAAGAAGAGGGTTGACAGAATGATTATCTGTCTTAATACTCCCTCATATTTGTACAGTGTTTCACAATTAAAAACAAAAAACTTTTTAACAACACAGAGAGGTAAGCAAGGAGGGATAATTAGACCCATTTTAAGAGTGAAATAACTGAGGTTCAGAGAAGTTACATAGGGAGGACAGGCAGCTGGAGTTTATTAGAAGGACAGCAAATAGGACCAGGGGTTAGAAAGTTTGGGTAGAAATGCCAATTCTTCCCCTACCCAGATATGGGAGCTTGGACAAGTCTCTTATACTCTCTGGACATCAGTTTTCCCATCTTGAATGAGAGCATTCCTAGGTGATTTCCATTTTAAAGGGTCCTTCAGCACTGACATTCTAGTTTGACCTGCCCAAGATTGCAAAAAAGGGCTTCAAGTCTCAAGACAGAGTCGTAGTTACTCCTAGGAAACCAGCTGGAACTGGAAGGCTTGTTTTAAGAATCAGTTGCATTTTGACTCAGGCAAATTCACCTCCTTCAAGCCTGAGAGTGGTTTATCATAGCCAGAAAAGGCAGTGGGGTAACGCCAGCATCAAACTACATGTAAATATAAACATGAATACAAAACCAAACAGGAAACCTCAGGAAAGTCCAATCCAAAGGTCAGATTCTAACTCTACGGAAAGTGAAATAGTGACAAGAAAAGCTGTGTTTGGGTGCCACAGGCTTTCAGTTGTGAAAAGGAACCTTGCACGCACCAAATCAAAGTCCCAAAGGCAAAGGAAACAGGGTTTTGTCAGGTGAGAAGTGGGGCAAAGCTGAGCCTTGACCAGAGCCTGCTGCGGCTCATTCCAAGGGCTCCCTCCACACTGACCCCCAGACACACACACAAGTGCTTACACACACCAAGCCAGGCAAGGCCAGATGCACAGGCACAAATCGGCATTTCTGACTCTGAAGAAGAGTTCATAGTACAGCCCCTTCTACTCCTGCTCTGATTTAACATTTTAATGAACAACCAGAGAAGAGGGTGAACTGTGACAGCCTTAAGGGTGCCGATGGCACTGAACACTGAACACTTCTGGGTCATGAAATGCGAGATTGTGAAGATAAACTTCAGTAGGCTCCCCTATCCTCAGGCTATGAGGCATTTTCCCTATGAACCTCCCAGTAAAATATAATCTACATTCATAGGTGGTGAACTCCAACCTATTGGTTCTGCCCAAGGAAGGAAGCCAAAAGTCATTGGCTACTTCTTATTTTAATTAAAATCTGTACCCCTACTCTGTGCAAAGCACTAGGCTGGGTTCTGTGAGAGAAATGGACAAAAGAGAACCAGTCACTGTCTCGAGATGTCCATCAATTAATCTGGTCATCATTCCATTTATCAAGATGCATGCTTTGCACGCATTGCCTCATGTAAGTAATCTCATAGCCCCGTGAGGTAAACATTATTATCCCCATTTTATAGATGCCAAAAGTGGGGCTCAAACAGGTCAGGTCACATGCCCAAAGTCACATAGCTGGCAAATTGCAGAGCCAGAATTTGAACACAGGTCTGCTTCTCCTAACATCAGTGCTCTTTCCACAATCCTCCGTCACCCCTACAAAGCAGTACACACAGACTCTGAGATGGGGTGCAGCCTGCCAGAGAAAAGGAGGAGAAAGAGGAGGAGAGATTTCCCAAGACATTGGCCCAGGCTATTATGAACTATTGAGTTTCGTGTTGGCCACACAGTAGGTACTCAGTACTCTTATGATGAAAGGTGGAAGGTGAGAACTGCCACTGAGGTCCAAAATGTCACCAAAATTCAGGGCATCCTCTGAAAAGGAGCTACAAAAACACATTATTCTCGGTTGGTCCCCAAACACAAGGTGTCTGCCTTAGAATATTCCCTACAGGGGAGGCCTGGGAAAGCGCGGCAGGTCGAAGAAGAGGAATGAACTGCAAAGAACAGGGGAACGGGGTGGGGCAGCCTGCAAGGGCCAAAGAAAAGGCCTGGGACGCGTTGCTGTTGCCGGGAAAGACAAAGAAGAGAGGGGAGGGGAGAGGAGACGAGAAACTTTCCAATGGCCTGGCCAAGGTGAACCCCGGCTCCTGGCGCCTTCTTATTCGCATTCATTCCACAAACACCAGCCAAATCTCGGCGCCAGCAGCCAGGGGGATGGGACCTCCCCGCAGCCGGGGAGAAAGAAGTTCAGGACTGAGGCGGGGAGGCCTATTTCCCAGAAGGGGAGTGACTTGGGGGCCAAACTTGTGGGGCTCCAAAGACGAAAACCCAAACAGATGAAGTGAGGCGCTGAACAAAAACATATGCGACGGGGCAAGTCACCAAGAGCGTTGGGGATATGTCCTCCGACCTGTAAAGTCTGTCATCGAGGTGACCTCGAGGTCCCCCACAAACGGTCCCTCGGGCCCTCCCCTGGCCTGGATGGCGAGGACGCGGATGTTTGAGATGCACTCGGTTCTCACAGATCTAGGGAGGGGGCAGGTTTCTGGGGGAGCGGTAAGAGCCATTGCAGCTCCGGTCACGCCTATGAACATCAAGGCAAAGCCCCGCCAGGACCCCCGATTCCTCCCGCATCAGCCCCCTCACCTCCTCTCGCGCCAGTGCCGCCCCCCGGCACCGGGACATCTTGGCGGCGAAGGCGGCGGCCCCCGCCGGGGAGCTGAGGTCCTCCGCGGTGACGGCCAGGAACTCGGCGACGCTGAGCTGCTCGGGCATGGCGGGCGCG